AGATTGAATTGCCTTACCCAGCTTGCAACACACACACACACACAACACATGCCAACATACCTCCATGTGTAGTATATCACATGATCTGGAGGGCGTCACTTTAGAGGGGTGTACTCTATTGTGTGCAGTTGCACCTATAAATTTATACAGATGCTTAACTGTGGGTAATTTGCCAGTCGCGAGTCGCGCTAAAATATTTGTTGCCAGACAAGATCTACAACAACTGTCAATTGATCAGTCAGTAAGAAAGTGCATTGTAAAGAAGTGAATAATAATTATGTATGTGAAGGCATAATAATAAAAGACTTCATATAGTTGTTGCTATTGCTTTTGTTGTTGATAATTTTGCTGATTGAACGCATCCGGCTGAAAACGGAAGCCACAAATGGGTATTGGTAGTGAGGCAAGTAAGCGAAATTAGTGGCTCAATTTGAAAGCGATTGATGGAGGAAAAGTGATTAAGTGGCGACAAAGTCACATTTTCGCGATGTCGTCAAAGTTCAACGTAATTGAGAAACTATTCATCGGTTGTGTGACTTGTTTGTTAATATTGAAGTCAGCTGTGGTGATAATATGATTTGTTTTCAATCTGTAAACACTTAATACTCTAAAATCAATGAATTTACAATTGAAAAATGAAAATACAATTGTTCAACGTTTACTGCAAAAGTGTCGTCCTACGCTATGGGTAATAGTCTTTTACTTGATTTTCAAGAATAATTCATGTCTACGATTGTTTTTTATCAAGTTAAATATTGCTTCACTGAGACCACCGAGTTGGTCCCTCTGAGTTGGTCCCTCTGAGAAATAAATACATAACCATCAAACTCGAACTCAAATTCATTTATTTCCACGACAGTCAGTCTACATTACCTGAACGTATCTACATTTATCTAATTCAAAGGGAAGTTATCACAGTGGCATCTCTCAAAAACATTTTAGGAATACCATATTTTATGAGAATGTCACAAACAATACAATTTATCTAAATTTCGGTTCTTCAAGCTATAATCTCAAACAGCGATGGATAAGTAGCCGGTGTATAGCTTACTAACAAAAAATTATCGACTTATTGAACTCGTATTTATACTAGAAAGCATTTGTGATATCCTCACCGTCTATACCTAATTTCTTTATCTTTATTTCGCTTGTTAACTTGCTTGCTTGATTTTTTTTGTTTTTTGAAAATGTACATACTTCATTGATGTTAGTATTGGAACGTTGTTGCCTTCAAAACAGGTTCCTTTTGCACCAATACAAGCATGCCAAGGCAGTTTTGGAACGTTATTTGATAGATTGTTGAACAGTTTAAACGTCATATTCAAAAACCCAAGTCTTTCCATCCGTAATAATGCGTTTAATAAATGTAGGGTCCTCAGATACATTGTCTAGCATCTCTTTTGCGAGCTCTACTCAACGTCGTTTTTGCAAAATATTCAGATCTTTTGATACGACGTTAGCATTGACCCGTTTTACATTAACCAAAGTGTGTTGAGTCGATCCGTAAGAGATGTTGAGATTCTCTGCTATCTCGCTGATGCCAACACGCCAATTTTGCAAATACTGTTTCTCTAACTTTTTCGATATTATCGTCAGAAACAGAGGTGAATGGAACATTCGCACGACTCTCATTGAATGCTTTGTGCCACTAAAATACTACTTGTTTTCGTGTTAAAGTAGACTCCCCCAAAACACTGCTACAAAGTTTTCAACGATTCCGTAGCCGTAATTCCATTGGAAACAACACAAAATTTCAAGCAAACTCGTTGTTCATGTCAAAAGTCGCCAAACAAACTTTTCGCTACTAATTGACGAATGAAGATCAAGCTTCACAAGAATATTAAAAAAGGTCCTACCAATATAGGAAAAAAAATTGTATCGATTCGGTCAACGCACTCAATTTAAACAGATCAGTCCGGTTCAAATTTGATCAGATGGTATACCACAAATAACTTAAAAGCCGTCTTTTATAAAACCGCTTTTTTATGCATCTGTATAAATTCCAAAAATAATTTCCGTCTCGAAATTCTTTTCGTATTTCGACGAGTCCATTAAGCCTATACATATATATAGAGGAGGATCATAAACAGTGACACTATTTGAAGAGGCAGTGAGATATATTACATAATCTCTGATCTGGTGGTAGCATGAACGAGAAAAACTCTCTCAACGTTGTAAAAGCAAAGTGGAGAAGAACTTGATACCAGGTGCCAAGCCTGAAGTATACAACGAATTTCGAAGGATGGAAGGAACTATTGCTCAATTTTTGACCAGCGTCGTTAGAATAGAAGAACAAGATAAAAGTACACTCGTATTTATCAACTAAGATTACTAATTGAATGCAAAATATATAATTTTCCTTAAATATAATACATGTAATCAATATGAGACAGCAAATTCAATAGAAGCTAAATGATAATAACTCCATACCAAGATTTTTATCTTCAGTGGAACACGAATTAAAGTCTTCAGAAACCAAAAATCAAGTTATCAACCGGACAGCGCAAGCAATTGTTGTCAGTGGAGAACGCAGCACGCAAATGTCACAACATGACAACAAGAATGACAACTGTGTCGAGTATTCTGTGAAGGTGTTGCCCGCTTTCCAAGAAAATTGCGGAAAAATCGAGAGCAACGCGGCGTGTGAACAATGCATACGAGAAGCGTACAATGCGCCTCAACGAACAACAGCGGCAAAGCAAAGCAAAAACAGTTGCTACATAAATTGCTAACCATTAAAGACCAACAAGGCTAATGACAGTCACCGCGGAACGTTTGTTGTTGTACGCCAGAAACACTATCACAACCAACTCAGGTGAAAGCAGCGCGATGTGCGCACAAGTTTCGCATGCGCTCTGCTCCAATTTCGCGACAAAACGCAAACAGCAAAACATGCGACTCATTTGGACTACGACAGACTTTTATTGTTGTCGGTTTTGCAACGTTTAACGATCGGTGCGCATGATAACACGCGCGCAAATCACATCACATTCACCAGCAGGCAGCCGCAGACGCAATTGATTGCAATCGATAAATAGCTCACGCGGATCCTATGGGTGCTGGACACTTTGGATACGCTGCTGCATGTATAAATTCTTGCACGCAAGTGGCGATACCAACAACTAAAACAACAACAGCATTATTGAATGACCGAACGCGCTGCAAAATACGAATACGCATTATCATGCAAGCCAAATGCTCGCGATAAGCATCTTAGCTCTGCAATCAGCGGCACCGATCGCACAGCGCAGCACGAAGATGTGAACGCAGTGATCAGCGCGCAGTCAAAAGTTACAGTCATGCACGTCATTCGCGTTCGTGACCGTATCAGCTGTGCGATCTTGCGACGATCATGCACGCCTCCCTCATGCACCACACCATGTATTGTAACTCGAATAGTATGTGTTTATGTACTTTGATTCGTGCGTATTCGCGGCATTTGCGCTTGTCGCTCCCTTACCACAAATTAGCCGCAACGCAGTTACGAGCATCAATCCGCCGCCGCGCGCGCTTGCGCCTGCACACATGAAGCGTTTTTTATGTGACTCGATCGGTTGGCTGGTTGGTTTCATTCACCAACGCACTAATAATGCCGCAGCGGGTTATTGGTAACAGTGCGTCTGCGCATTAGAGTTCGGTGCATTCTGTTGCACACGCCACCAGCGCTAAGGTCTTGAAATCAATTACTTTTAGTCTGCGTGAAAGATATGGAATCACACTGTGTTCTTTTGTAATGAAGTGGGTCTTTCAAGACGGCGATAGTAAACTGCGCTTATTGGGCTAGAAGAACGCGATATGTAAGGATGGAAAGCGTATAATTACTTACACGAGGATATTCGGAGAATGCCACTGCTTACAAGGTATTTTGCATATCATATTTTCTTCCTGGCTGTAGCTCCAGGATTTCCCGCGAGTGCCACTGCTTCAAAGTATTTACAGATGCCCCACATATTTCCTTCCTTTCTGTGCCTCTAAGCCGAAGATCCACGGTAGGACTGCTAAGTTAAGACCACTCTGCGTTCGTGATCAGATTCCAGATCATCTTCAACATACTATTCTACCTACTTGTTCCGTGTCTCATTAAATATTTTCGTAGACGCAAATCATTTTTCATCTTGACGCTATAACCACCCTTGAGAGTTTGATAACGAGGGCTTTGTCCAAGACCAAGTGAGGACAGTCTATCCACCGGGGAGGTTAAAAACAAAATTCAATAAACACCAGCATGAAGATTATGCCGGCAACCATTAAAAAAAGAAAAAAAAAACTGCCTAGAGAACTTAGCATACATTTTTTCCGCGATATTCGAGACAGCCGAAGATTGGGATCCGCATTTCGTCATATATACATAGTTCCAGTAAATTTCATATCGAAGGCGATTTCGAATCTAAACTTTCTTTTAAGAGCAATATAGTGAATTACTTCAATTAAAGATCACGCCTTGTCTTGAGCTCGATCTTAAAAAAGACGAATACGCCTAGTGACTCAACTTGTTTAATTTGGACAAAGATAAGTTAACCGTAACCGGGAATCGTTGTGAACAAAGATAAGACGTCAAATCTGAAAGAAAAGTAGAAAAATATCAAACAAAGACTTCAAATTTTATAAATCCAAAATAACCGTCCCATTCTCACAATACGCAAGGCATTCTGAGTCCACCAACAAATCTGCACCAATACCAACAGCAACACACACCCGCTTATCGATCGCCAAGATCTCTTGACATTCGCAGAAGACGACGAGGTCCACACGCACAGCAACGCGACTAAACCACAACAACAACACACAAGCAGTAATAGCAACAGCTGCTGGCAACATGGTCATGTTGCTACAATTATTGTGGCGTTCATCGCCGTCGTTACTGTCGTCGACATATTTGCTGCAGTTAACGCGCCATTTGCGTCATGTGCTGCGTCAGGCGTGTTGCCAATAAGCCAATCCATGTTGCAAGTAGCTCTGACAGCAGAAAAGCAAAGCCATAAAAAACGTCAGGAGAAATAACAAAAAAAAACAACAATAACAACAACACAAGCGTACCAAAAGTGCCAAGTGGCAGAACGCGTTGATTGCGCTTATCTTCCCGACGCGATCATGATCTGCGGCTCGCCTGCACTGCCGCCGGCAGTAACAGACCAACCAACCGACTCAACACAAGTGAACACGAAGTGCGCGTATACGACAGCGTGTCTATAGAAATGTGTGCTGTTGCTCTATTTTAAGTTCCTCGTTTGATTGGATTGAATGTTTGGCATGCCAGAGACAATGTTGCGGCTCGCATGTCGCAGCGGCAGCCAAAGATGGGTATGCCGCATGGCAAGCTGCTGCAAATGGTTGCAATGAAATCATGATTATTGTTGTTGTTGTAAATGCTGCACGTGTGCCTTGCAACTTGACAGTGCACGCTTCACTTGCGTGCTGATTAGTTCAGGCGTGTGGCAAGATCGGGAGTCATTAGAAGCCCGACACAATATGGTTAACTGTTGCTCAGTGCTGATAGAAAGACTTAGTAAAAGTAGTACAATACCGGTGTAGAAAAGGTTTACTCTTTGAGTAAGAAACCGTCAAACCGGCACAATCTCGACTCTCGAGAAACCACCACCAATTTAATGTTTATCCATCCGCCACTAGAGATACTAGCTCTTATGAATATGCAAGCAACAAAATCTGCTTGACCTACTTGTCGGATTATTATGTTGATTAATCATCGTTTGTGTAATGCGATCTAATGATCCAGAAAAGGAGTTAAAAAATCGATTTCTGATTGGAGCGGTACGTGTTAATCGCTTTCTCGCTAGTACCGTTAAACCTTGGTAACAGCACAAAGTGTTATTCGCGTGACAGTTAGTCTTTATAAGTGGGTATTGGACACCCAGGATGCCACTTCCAGGGAAGGAGTCAGTTGACACTCTATGAATGATGTGCGAATGAGCGAATCTCTTTGTCGGCCAATTTTCCAGACTCAAGACTATCCTTCTAAACAACACTCTTCCAGTTATCCACACATCAAATAATGGAAAATATGCCGTGGACATATAAGGCACCTTCGGAAGAAGTAATTGTAATCTCCTGAATTCTGCACTCCTCTATAAAGGACACGATGTTGCGCAATTCCCACAACATCCAGTACTACGTTAGCGGAATTGACACGGATTTTATCCAGTCAAGGGCTGCTAATTCGAGGATCTAGTCCGGTTTGAACCCCAGAAATTCATGAAAATTTTTTAGAAATAAAGCGCCGATTGCTAAATAAAATATTATTAGATTTTATTTATTATTATTATAATTTTTTTAATTTTTATAATATATGTATTGATTTTGTTAAGTCCTGTAATGTTGAGTAAATTTCTTATAAAATAAATACTCCGGCAACACTAAGGAAACAGAGATCGGATCAGCTGTTTCTCCACTTTAAAATAAAAAAATTGGAGACTAAATTTTGGAGAGTTGTGAGAAAATAGTAAACAAATGGAAGAAAGCACAGAAATTTACAAGTATTTACCAACTTACAATGAAATTGAAAGTATTTTAGAAAATGAGCCCGAAGCAAATTACATACTTGGCTTGGCAGCGACAGATGTTGAGAAATCAAACTCAAAAGCATATGAATACAACGAGGAAGTGTACTACTTGGTTAGTAGCTTAGTGGACAAATGCTGGGAACGCATACACACCGGGCACTTCAGTGCAGTGCCGCTGGAAGTGCGCAAAATTTATGCTCTATCCAATTATTTCAAAGTAAGTGAAATAGCTTCAGGTACATCTTTGCTGAAATTACATATGTTTAAAAGATATTTTATTTGCTTTGCGAAAGTGTTTCCAAACAGCAATTAACGCGTTGCGCCGAAGTGCTCGATGAGGCTATACTGATTGGCTGCACACAAGGATTATATGAAAGAAGTGATAAATTCCAAACTGAACTGACAAGCTATACTAGCAAAGTTTTGGGTAAGCTTCAATTTTTTAAATAGTAATACAGAAAAAGCCATGTTTTCTTGTTTTAAAGACGAAAACACGCAGACATCACTGCCAATCATCGAGCAACTCAAACGGCAACATTTTAAATGCGACATACCAGTTTTAGATTGTCCCTCAATAGAGGAGTTTCGCACAAAATGTTTCACCACCGAACGTCCCGCATTGCTACTTAACACTGTAACGCATTGGCCAGCTTTGCAAAAGTGGCGTAATCTTAATTACATACACAAACTGGCGGGAAATCGCACAGTGCCTATTGAAATTGGTTCTAATTACACCACCGATGAATGGTCACAGCAGTTAGTAAAAATACGTGATTTTCTCCAACGTCAATTCGCAAACACCGACAATGAAATTGAATACTTAGCACAACATGAGTTGTTCGATCAAATACCTGCGCTTAAAGCCGATATACGCATACCGGATTATTGCACCTTGCGTACGAGTGATTGCGAAAATACCCGACATGTTTCTATAAAAGCCTGGTTGGGTCCTAAGAATACTATATCACCGTTACATTATGATCCCGAACACAATTTACTGTGTCAAGTATTTGGTAGAAAACATATAATCTTGGCAGCACCAACAGATACGCCAAATCTTTATCCACACGATACGGAAATGCTTTGTAATACCTCCCAACTGGATGCAGCGCAATTGGACTACGAAATATTTCCATTGGCAGCACAAGCAACCTTTTATAATGTTACTTTGCAAGCGGGCGATTGTCTTTATATACCGCCGAAGTGGTGGCATTATGTGCGTGCCGAAAGTGCGAGCTTTTCGGTCAGTTTTTGGTGGTCATGAATTAAGTATGTGTGATTTGGGAACTAAATAAAATAACGTTTGCATGTAAATCACTTTAAGTGCCGTTGTACACTTAATAAATATTTATGATTGTAACTAATTAACGAATGCCGAATGTTCTAAGTATAAAGCGATAATTATTGTCGACTTTATCAAAGTACACAAATAGTGGAATTATATTTGATAGCAAATTTTATTATTGTGTATTTTTGTGTACTTGCTTATCAGATGAATTTGATACATAACATACATATACACAAATGAAACAGAATGCAAAAATTGTTTAATAATGACGAAATTATTGAGATAGCAATTACTGTACTAATGTAATTCTAATAAAAAAGTATAGGTATTAAAACTGGTTAAGATATCTAAAGCCGCTGCTGAAATATCAAATGTACATGCATACTCTAAATGCCATCGAAAGGTAGCTGATGTGTACTAATAAATAAATTAAATAATGAATCATCATCACTAGTTCATGTGTGTATGTGCATATGTTCATTTCGCATAGTAAATAATACAGCTGCTGAGCTGTCCATAACATTCAAAAAAATCTTTTGCAATAAAGTGATTAAGCACATGGAGATATAACATAATTAAATGACTAAATAGGCGCAAATTTTGCATGTCAATTCAAGCATACATGCATTTATTAATAATTCATAATTTTTGTATACAAAAGGAAATAATACGTTTATATATATATGTGAGAAAAAGTATTAACCAACACGCTAAAGATAAATTCTTAAGAGAACTACAAAGCAATTAGAAGAAACATTTTGATCTTTAAAAATATTAGTTCTTTGTTATTTTTAATGTTATGAATATTTATGTATACTATTATATAATAGTCCACATTATTTAAGATAATTCTTTTCAATTTAGATAAACTCATCACTTTTCATTTTAACAAATTCAAACTTCAAGTCTCTTTGAGATGTTAACAGCAGTGTGTAAACCGATTCAACTGCAACTGCACATGTACCTCAGTAGCAAAAATATATTTATAATGATTAAATTATAAATATTTCTCTATTGAGTACTGATTTCGTGGTTTGTTTAATCATCCTTATCACCACCTTTACCGCTGCTAATGTCGCTGATGGTAATCTTCTTTTGCAATTTGCTGTATTCATCGGTAAGTCTGTCGTACTCCTTGTTCAAGCTTTCTGCTTGTGATTTTAAAGCTTCCTTATCCTTCTTCTCACGATTCAAGTCAGATGTGAGTTCTTGTACTTTCTTACGCAATTCATTGAGCTGAAAGTGATATAATTTTTAACATCTTTGTTCTTTTCTAATAAAAGCTAAAGTTCGCACTATGTGTGTTTGTCTTGGAATTTACAATACAAAGTTCCTTTAGATATACTATTTTATGTGGTCTATTCGAGCAAACTTGTTTTTTTAATATTTAGCTGAGGCTGGCACTGAGTCCTTGTACACGTCTCCGCAACTTTAATATCTGTGCATTTTACCCGGTGGGAGTAAACGACGAAAGGAATAGACGAAAGAATTATATTCTTGAAGTGGATAGAAAAATAACAGCGAAGGCGTTTTTATACAAGCATCGGAAGCGTTAAAGAACTATTTTTTTTTTACTATACATCCATACAGAGTCGCTTGACGAAAATGTCAATATATAATTTATATAGAGCGGCAACTCCTCGTTAAAGCAGGAGATTAGTAAATAAACTTGTGCAAGCTTTTTCCAAGTTACATATATCTACAACTAAATTGAGTATGTGAAAAATATATTCAAAAATATATTACTCAGGTAAAAATTCAAAACATTGTTTGATGCACATTTTTCGGTACAAGAACTCTTTTTTTTGTACAGCCCAAGCCAAAACCAATAACAAATTGAACCAAAAAAAAAAAAAAACAACAAGCAATTTGGTAACACGTCACTTACCTCAGTGAGTGTGCTATCCTCAGTAGCTTCCTTCGCCTTCTCGGTGCTCTTTTCAGCCATCAACGTGCGGGCAGCTGCGGTGGCACTTTGTGCCTGCTTCATTGAAGCTTCACTTTGAGCCAACAAGTTTGCTTGTGCAGAGATCAGCGTAACTAGACGACGTATGACTAATACGAGGAATATTGCAAAACCAGAAATGTAAAAGTTGCGTTGTGCACGGAAGAGACGCATGCTGTGCTGCATTTCGACATTAAGATGTTCGTGACCGCCAGCTTCATGGGTCGAATACTTTCTCATTTCACGTATGGCATCCAATAGGAATAAAATTAATACACCCATAATGAGGAAAAAGTATAGATGCGCCTGCTGTGCCAGCATCGCTAGAAACTTCGATTTGAAGAGTCGGTTCCATTTGTATGGACTGGCTACAGGCAAAACCAAGAGAAGAACTACGACAATTTCTGCGTACAGAAATGTAGCAATCAAAGTCCAGACAAGACTCATTTTGCTGCGTTTTACAAAATAATAGGTTTCTGGAACAACTTTCCTTCTGCGATTCCGATGAGCTGTAAAAGTTTCGGCGAAAATAAAAACAAAACAATATAATTTAAAACTTCTTTATGCTTTAGCCTTCGTGCTTTGTCTTTTGTCCTATTTTTAGCTTATTACCCTAGTAATTTAAATTTCTTACTTTTTATAGATTGAAATTTGTGAAAATGTAGAACTGCGCTGCTGCTGCTTTTGTCGCTGCTTTGATTGAAGTTCAGTCAAATTCAGTCGATGATGTGTATTTCCATTGGCATATTATCGTACTTCTTTCAACATCAAATTTAAGCTCAAATTTTATAAGTGTGAGCAGTACAGTTAAAAATTACCGGCATATATGCGTGTTACTTCTTTACTTGCAGCAGGGTTGTATATAATCGTATATTCAATTACTAACTAAACAATTTTTTTAAATTTATAATAAACATTCATAAAATTAGTTCAGTAATTATGCGGAATGCATTAATAATTTATAAAAATGTGCTTTTATTTATTTCTATATATTATTTTGAAACTTGTTACTAAGGTGGCAGCATGCGAAACAGCTTTAAAACAAAACGTGCGCTGATGGCAACGTATTTACTTCGATCAAACACTTCAAAAATAACAAATATCACAGAAATTTTGAAGTTAATTAATTTTTAACACTCATTTTCCACAAAAAATTATTTAAACGTTAGTTACAAAGACAAAATGTCCTACGAAAATTGGCTTAACTACTTACGTAGTGCTGAAAAGCATTCAATGATCAGTGGCCATTGCCGCAAAATATACTATAAATTTCCGGATGGTAAGCAAATGGCTGAAGAGTATAGCATGGAAACAGGTATTGTGCAGCGTAGAGCGTGGCGTAAGTGCAAGCAACTAATGGGGGAACCCGAGTGGGAAATCGAATTGGGCGAAACACCACGCCAGATTAATCAGGGCCTTGGCGGCGGCGGTGATGCAGACAATTCTAGTGTTAACAATGATTTTACACTTCTGGAAAGTAACACATCTCCTGTGATTACCAAACGCATCACAAAGAAAAACATCGAATGGCGTATACGTAATTTACCATATCCAATTCAAGTGTACCAAGTTACAACGGAACCTGATAAACGCGCGATTGTTGTTCGTACTACAAATAAAAAATATTACAAAGTAATCTCAGTACCTGAATTGGACCGTTGCAATCTGCTTCCAACGCAAGCAAATATTAGCACACACCATCAGTACAACACACTGATTATAACCTACAGTAAGCCGCCTTTATTGAATGAAATGGAAGCGCAGGTACTGTTGTTATTAAAGGATGTCGAAACCGAAACCGATATGGAAGCCTTACTTCAAGGGTTGTTAGCGAAATAAAAAAAAATCTAGCGATATAATTTTTGTTGTAATACTTTAATGAATTAAATTTATAATATTGTATATTTGTTTGATACACATAATACATATGCTGTCTGGGTATTGCCATTCGCAAGAGATCGTCACATATTCGAAACAAACATTCACTATTATTTATTAAAATTCGCGCTTAAATTAGTCAAAGATGGGGTTGAGGCGTAGGAATGATATTCGAAAGAAGGTAATTCGAGTGGTGTTAACGATGGTATCTCATCGCTATCAGTTATGTAAAAAGCTGGTCTATCTGCATTCCGTTCGTATGGTGACTGTGTAATAGGTGCAATTGTCTTCACAACCCCCTTTGGTGGGCCGCCATGCGCTTCGGCACTATTATTTGCACTACGATAGTCTTTGTTTTCTCTGCTGTTCGTACGCTTTATTGGTGATATGTTAAGTTTAGTGTCAAATTCTCGTACTGTTCGATCAATTGATTTGGCTACAGATTGTGCAGTCAGATTACTGTCTGTTCTGAATATTAATACGGGTGGTGTGTTTGTTGTTGTGGCCGATAGTGGTACAATCTCTTTGTGCTTTAAACTTTCATGCTCTTGCTTATGCATTTGTATTTGACTTAACTTTCTCTGGTATTCCCATTTTTGTGTATTTAGCAATTCCACAGATTTTTGCATCAGCGCCGATTTAAATGCATCTTGTAGATATATCAACGAGGTTTCTATTGCCTTATAGGCGTCGTCGTAGCGATGGCGATTGAGAAAGCGATTAGCACGACGTTCATGAAAATGTGCCTGGAAATACATTTTAAATGAAATGTATGTATCAAGGAGATTTTATTTAATATACTTACTAAATTTAATGGAGCGTAATCCATTATTTTGTGTCCTTAGTAGTATTTATTGAAAATTCGGCCCAATGCGCAAAATTGTTTTGATAACGAATGTTTATTTACGCAGTGCTCAAAGTTTGTAAAATCATCTGGTGACTGACAGGGTTGCTGTGCACTGTCAACAAGTGCTGGTAAAATGGCTAGATAAATCTACTCCGAAAATTAGGGAGTCGATTTTAGATAATTATCTAGGGAGATGAGGCGTGTGAGAGGTGATTTTTTTGAACAAATATATTTTTGTCTAATGAAAAGTAATTGATATTTTCTAATTTTTTTAAATTATAGATTAACTTATATATACAAATTTCGTGGAATACTGCAATGGTTAAGTCTATATCCAAATCATATACTATTCCGAAATTTGGCTGGCACGGCGATCATTGTAGTGCATTACTGGAGAAAAAACAACGCGATCACCCCTCCTCTCTGATTTACGGTATATTGATTTTTAATAAATGCGCCATATTTTTACTTGAGTCCTTAAACGCCCTTTGAGAAATTAGGCTAACTAATGTCCAAGATTCTGATTTCCAATAAAACTCGGTTTTTAAGTTTAAAATTTTATTTTTATTTTTTATATGTATATATTTTAATGATAATAAGTTAATAGGTTGTTCAGTCACTCTTAACATAGACAATTAGATTATAGATACTAAACATAAATGCTCCACTAGTAATAAGCAAGCCAACTTAACCTCTAAATTTGTATTATGCTAATATTTTTCATCTTGAAATGGGCAGTCATGAGTGGTTGTTTTTCAATAAAAATTTACAAAATACTGTTGAGACCTGCAATGAATCAAGAGGAAATAAAGTGTTTTAGTAATTTTGCACACAAGTAAACAACAAATAAATTATTTTGCAATAAAAATTCAGTAAAAAAAATTTAATCAAATGAATTCATAAGTCTAACATATTTGGATCATCAATTAAAATATTAAAAAGCGTAAAATAATAATAAGAAAATATTAACCTTTGAACATCTCAGCAGTGTCCTTATACATATGTAGTATACATTAGAGCCAATTAAACTGCAAAAGAAAAATAACATGTTTTTAAAGTTACTCAATAATATTTTATAAAAAATAAAAATATATGTGATTAAAAATCAGTGCTAATAATCCTTGTTAATCAAATGTTCTCATAGGTGTCCCAAGGTAATTGGTCATCATTAAATTTTATACATTTTTTTTAGGAATTATTTTTATACTAACCTAATAAACGCCAATTAAATGTCGCATGAATGATGAGTCTTAATCGTACGATACCTATCTGTAAAAAAAAGGAAACAATAAATAACTTTGAAAAGCATTATTCTATTATATAATATAAAAGTTTTGTAAATATCAGGAATAAAAATGTCCAATAATCACAGGTTTCATAGGTGTCCCAAGGTAAATCTCGTCATCACAAAAAAAATGAACACATACATGTATCTTACTTAATTAGTATATTTGATGCTAAAAACATTTTAACGTTGCAACAATGCTTACCTCTATTATAATATAAGTTGTTTATTAATACACTTCCAGCGCAAACGCCGTACACAGCTGTAAAAAAAAAACAAAAAAACCTTGAAAAATAATATCAAGTAAACTGCATATTCATTATAAATAAAAAAAAAATCAGTTGTAAGTCCGGATTGTTGCAATCATAAGATTTCAGGTTCTAACATATGTGTCTTTAGAACAATGATCATCATATGAAAAAATTATGAAAAGCCACTTTCTGCACAACGACTTACCTTAGAAAGCGTAACGTGTACGTATGTCCTCCAGCTTTTTGCAAATTTGATTCGGCGTGCGGAACATATCGCTGGCAATGCTCTTTTGTTTGGCCGGATCAATAGACAAATATTGCTCACACAAATCACCATCCAACACATTCTTCACGGTGTAGTACGAACTGCGGTAGCTCAGATGATCGCGGCCACACAGTGGCGGATTTTCATTGCGCATATGCATTTCCAAATGTTGAAAGAAGTCGAAATCTTCACGACTGGTAAATGGTACAAACGCGCCAACCGTGCCGCTGAGCGTAGAGTATATAAGGGCCTCGGAGCCACCGGGTATTAAGGTAGCTTTCTGCAATGACATGATAATTTCGCCCACATGAAAAGAAGAAATATTCTCCGATTTTTGCGAAGCGCCAGATAGCAGGCCGCGATCCCACAATGATTTAGTGCCAGTTGGATCTTCGTCCACATCATCGGTGACCGAATGCGGCAGCCGTTGCACGCTCATATTGCCGAATTTATCGGCAATGGCAATTGTGTCATAATCCAGCAAAGTTGTGGCCGTCACCCAACGTGGATGTGTGTCGTCAGCGAATATAATAAGCTGATTTTCGGCACGCTTATAACGTATAAAGAAGACAGACTCTTGCACATCCGACGCGTAAACACGATGTCCCATCGCCTGTATATTGACAATCTGATAGGGAATGTGTTTGTTCTCGCATTTTCGGAGCAGCTTCTTCTTGCCCAAATCATAAATACGCAATATACGACCGCAGCCGGCCAATAGACGTCCCTGGAAACCAGCCAAAGCGCCAGGTACCTCCTCGATTTCAGTGCGATGCATAAACTCGATATTCGAACAGGTCGGATCAATTTTGTAAATGTCAATGCAACCGCCATTTGTTATGCGCGGATTTAACTGCAATTCTTTGGCCACACCAACTGCCAGATAGTACCGACCGTCGGCAGCGATATTGAACTTAAGTACACACATCGACATAATGGCCTCATTTTGCACAAATGGTATTTTAAATAACGTATGACCATGTATGGGGTCTAAGCCGCGTATCTGTGAAGCCCACAAACCCAGACCAGCTTTAGGTGAAGAGAATGTTTCTTCGGGCAAAATTTCATTGATAAATGCATTTGCCATTTCGTTGGCCAACTCGCGTTCCTCATCGCCCGCAGCCATACGCATTTCTTCTGCCATTTGTTGCTTACGCGCATTCTTCGTCTCGTCTGTGTACGCATTATGATCGGTCTCGGCAATAATCATACGCCCAGTGTCGGGATGTATAGCAAAAGCGCGAGGCGTGTATTCGAGTGGAAATGAGACTTGATTAAATACGGCGCCCAGCTTTTCCAAAGCCAAAATACGCAAAGTATTTGTTGAGATAGCCACAATGCCTTCGCTACACTGTTCACTGGAGAAACCCGAAGCATACTCCAAGGTTTCATACGACAAAGGTGTTAAATGGAATCTATTTTGGTGGTAGTACGAAAGCCAAGTACGACTGGACATGGCGAGCACAGCTTCAGAGCCTTGCATGCGTATGCGGAAGAGCTTCACTGGACGTGAGCCTAAATAACGTGTACGTGTATCAGCTAAATCGCCCGAAACGGGATCGAGTACTGTACGCAACAGTACACCATTGCTTAAACCAATATTCAAGTAAATTGTGCCCTTTGCAGACGTGTTGGCGCTACGTTCAGCGGGTTCATCATTTGCACCACTCGTGGTATTTTCTGTATGACCCATTTCCACAATGCAAAGCGACTCGGCAGGTGATGGCAGCGCTTGCATGGAGCAAGGCGATAGACAATTATTTGGATCCAGTGAGATAATGCGCACGGTGTTATCAGCTAAGCCGACGGCTAAAAACCAAGAACGCTGCTCACCCTCCGGTACTTGACCAAGCGCCATACACATTATTTCATTGGGCATCTCCGAACGCTCAGTGTATTCATTAAGCTCGCCAGTCTGAAAGTTACAAAAATTAACGTTAGTATAAATTATACAGCTATATTACATAGAAATTATAATTTTGTGTTTGGTCAGCACTGCAGGACACAAAGTGTCTCAACACGATTGTTCTTTAAGGTGTTTTTGTCATCATAATGAATTTTTTGTAAATTTTACAACATAACATATTATATTTACTTACCGCATCCATTTCGAAGTAAACCAGCTCCCTTCCGGACAATGTAATGACAACTTGGCGTTGATTTACTGCACATTTTGTGATCGATTTCTTGCCTGGCGCTTTCCACTCGTTCACACGCTTATCGGAGCGTATATGACGTATACCGTCGGGATATACTTGAACCAGCGCATCATCGCCTAATGAGGAACAGCTCAGCGTAGGCGTTGTGCCTAAGAAACCACTATCAGTTACCTCTTCAACGGTCTCACCGATACTTAAAACCAGCGTAGCATTCACGAACGACACTATTATATAAGCATCGAATTCATCTAGAAGAGAAGACCAAATATATGCGAAATGCGGGGTTAGCACTTTGTTTTCTTAAATTTACAGTTTCTTCTTCAAATATTGAGATATATATCTGTTGACAATGAATAATCAGATAACCTTAATTTTAATCAAAGAAAATCAGTTGAAACACGGATAAGTAACATCATTTTATATTCATTGCCAACGCACACACACACACACACACTTTGTTTATCGCTTTGTTTAGTATCTGTATCATATTTTCATAAAATCAGCTTAAAACACTACACTGATAAAAAAAAATCAGCGATTTCAAGAAATGTTGCCTTACCTATATTTGTGATGCTATTTAAGACAATTTAATTTATTGTACGCACGCACAGTTTATTAACCGGCATGTGTATATCATTAAATCATTTCATAATAATTTTATGCACAAGTAACTCGACAGTCACGCCGACCGGCACAACACAATGCAAGAGTTAACCGCCTGAAATAGAAGAGAACTGGTGTTTGATTTGTATGTTCTTCTAATTAGATGCTTTTGCATGTAGGACTTATTAAGACCTTATGTGTACAAAGTAGAATGTAAGGAACATGGATGTTGGATGTTTGATAGTATTGGGTGAGGAGATGGTATTACGTATACATAAGCATCAAATACACCAGTTTACATTAAAAATATTGTACAAATATAGGTAAAATGCAAGCAATGCGTAAATTGTACACGTATTTAACTTGCATTATCGACTCTCACTTCTTACACAACTACAGTATGACATATAAATGCTGCATGAACACTAACCGTCAATACGTTTCTTAACTGTCCAAACAGCATTAGGGTTGCCTGGCAGTTCAGATACAGCCATTTCGCTGACTTCCAAGCCGTGACGCAGCACACGCATAGTAGAACGTGGTCCCCGACCGCACAACACATACAATTGTGGTGTGTCTTCATTGGCCAAATCAGCTACTTGTGACGTAATTATAGGCGCAAATGATGGTATTTCATCTACCATAACTAGATTTTTCAGTGGACGTGGGGCAAAGAAGAATGTTTCACCCTCTTCAAGTGGCATAGCTGAGCTGAATTCGGGCTCATCATCATCGTCGCCGAGATGCGCAATTTGATAAAGATAACTATATAAAAAAAATATAATACCGGTTATACCACATTTGCTTAAATCTACTTATTTTTAACTTACTGGTTGCCAAATTCACAAGCTACAAAGAGGAAACCCGTTTTCAATACGCACATAGCAATTGCCGGCGGCACAGTATCGAAATATTTTAGCTTTATCTCGGATACAACATCGTCATCGGTTTCGAGTGTGACCTTAAATATATCGCCCTGCTCGGTTTGCACCAAAAAGAAGTACATGCTCTTTGTGCGATGTGTTGCCGAGCATATGAATATCATGCCACGATCAGGATCATCTAAATCATTGCGTCGACGTGGTATAGGACAACGTATGTCATGCTGATCACCCAAATTCTTATATGTAAGATAATTTTCTGAGCAAATCAATACACCTGAAGGTCCATCATTGCCGCCCGGCACAGATATAAGAAAGTTTGCATGTTCCTCCAACGGTTCGGAGTACTTGCGCACCACGTGGTTAAGACCGAGATCCAATTCGTAGAAAGTCAATGTCTGTTGTGTACGTTGCGCTGCTTCACCTGCAATGTTAAGGGATTAATTTTAGAATTGCTGTCGTAAGACGAATTGATAATTACATTTAAAAAATAAAAGTTAATTGTTAACATCTAATCAGTGAAGTATTTGCGATTAGATTTGCTACAAATACCAATGGTTCAGAGGATAATATTTGTTATAGCACTTTGCCAAGCCAATTAAGTCGTTGAGCCACTTAATTGGTATGTCTTAAAAGTGCTTATAAATTCACCTATCTTTAATGGTGAACAGATCTCAAAAGTTCTATATTATAATAGTTTCTTGTAGGCGACATATCAGTGAAGTATTTGCAAAATAGTTTAATACAAGTACCAATGGTTCAGTAGCCAATTTATCTAGCACTTTGCCAAGCCAATTGTGTGTTTAATCTATACAACCGGCATGTCTATAAAGTGCGAATAAAAAGTATGAATATGTTGAATTTTTTACAAACCTGTTGGATCGTTGTCAGCCTCTTCGTAATCGATTTCCAAACAAGCGAATAAAGGGTTATCGAAACCAACATCCACTCCAACCATATGATATGTGAGCGTATTCGACTTATGTGCTTCTAAAGGCGACGAAATTGTAAGACGTGCTTGTGTATCACGATTAAGAATGTAGGCCAACTTTTGCTTTTCTACAGCACCAATCATGACAGCACGACCTTTAGGGTCAATGGCGAAATATTGACCCGGCACAATACGCCGGCACCCAGATTTCCCAAAAGTCTCCTGATGTACTTTATCTAACGAGTTCTTAGCTGGGTTATACTCAAGTATGACAATTCGTCCAGAGTCTGAACCAACAACAATATAATCTGAAATTTTAAATTATTTGTCAATAATATTTAGTATTTGAAAATCCTATGTTTTACATGTTACTCAGAGTTTCAGTTCAATATGGCACAAAACCATATCAAATGCGACGCCAAGTTATTTTCTATTGCACTTAGACGGTTATATAAGTCTTATTGAAGTTTTCAATTGATTTTGAAATTTCAATAGGGATTCGTGCCACAAAACTTTATATTCAAATTTGATATACGCGCACTCACCTTTGGTACCACCCGTTAATCTGAATGACATCAACGCACGTATGCACCCGAAGACTTCTACCGACAAGACAGTATGTACTTTGCCGGTATTCGAATCTGGACGTACCAATTCAAGCGATTTGCCACGAGAAAGTATAACCTCTTGATGTTTACCACCCGAGAAGTTACCATGAACGGCGTGGGTAACACCGGTACCTTTTTGTAATGTTAAATTGTATAAATACATCTTGTAACAATTTCACTAAAACAAAAGAAAAATTCAACATTAACATTTTTCTGCCTTAATAAATTTTCGAATTAATCTATTGTGAATATTAGTTGTCCTACTCTGGAATTCCATGGTTACAGTAATGGATTTCGGTGTAACCTAACGATGCTAATGAGTAGCAAAATTTGTTTCTTTAGCACGTTCAAAATGCGACCATAGCACAGACATTTCTGTGTCTCTGGAGATACATCGTGCACAAATTATCAAATTTTCTAGAAATAAGAATTTCTTAAATCAGATTATGCATCAATTAAATACCTTTCGTTTTTATATCCAAATAATTATTCATTTACTATTGGATGTGAGAAGATTTAATTGGTGTACATCCGCCATTTTGTTAAGACTTCACCGGAAACATTTCCACCAGCAGCGAAGTATTTCCCACAAAAATGAACCTCTCCCATCGGCGAACGAAATTGAAATGAACGAAGTAGAAGAACGGCCACCGAAAATAGAACGCGAAAAGGATGATTGTGAAATTGGCTGTGCTTCGTAGAGCTGCCAATTTCAATAAACATAATTATAAATGCCCTTAAGCGATATGGTTTTTTTTCTATTAATTAATATTATTTATTCTATAAAAAAGAAATAATTGATTCATAGAAGTACTTTTTTTCTATTCAATTCAAGTATAAGAAAAATGAGAACTTTTATTTTTTTTTCGGGCTTTGGTTCAATAATTATAATTGCAACTCTGCGGTTTGTTTATCGCTCTGTCGGCTAAAACACATGCCGCCTTTTCTCAAAACAAAACAATTTTGTTTTCTCAGTTAAAATAAATACTTTGTCTCTGATAAATATAGTGTTATTAGAAATGAGTGGACCGGCAGCAAAAAAACAAAAGTTTTCACATTTCAAGCAAAAAAATTACTTCAAAAGTAATAAGCGTCAGTTCATGGAAGTGGGTCAACGCGGTTTCCTTGCCACCTGTAACTTCCGTGAAAAAGACTGCGTACGAGAAGCATATAATGTACTGAACCACTATGCCGATGAATTATATGGTCCAAAGGATAAAGATATTACCACGTCTACACAGGACAAAGAATCAGAGCCGGAGGATGCGGCGGATATAGCAGATGACTTACAGAAAGAAATTGATGCTACAAAGTCGACGAAGGAGAATAAAAACACCGTCAAACAACGTTTCCAAGTAGTGGACACAGGCGCAACCAATTGTGTGTTCATTCGCACTACACTACCAGAACCGGTGGAACTGGGCACACGGATTGTCAGCGATGTTGCAGAAACACGCGAACAGAAATCGCGCTTCTTACTACGACTAGTGCCCGTTGAAGTGGTATGTCGTGCCAATTTGGCAGATATCAATAGCGCTGGTGGTGTACTTTTTGATAAATATTTCCTGAAAGAAGGCACCACCTTTGCGATTATTTTCAACAAGCGCTATAATAATGATGTTAAACGTGATGATGTTATTCATGATCTAGCTGCGCTGGTTCAATCAAAGAATATAAAAAATCGTGTCGATCTCAAAAATGCTGCTAAAACTATAGTTGTAGAGGTGATAAAGGGGTTATGCTGTTTATCCGTGCTGGATGGTTATTTGAAATACAGGAAATATAATCTGGTGGAGTTGGCGAATAGCAAAGATAAAGACCTAAATGAAGAAAAAGTCATAAAACAAAATGAAACAGATTCTGTGGAACTTTCTAAAGATTCCGAATTGGCCGAAAAGTCCCAAAGTGATGATAAACCAATTGACAACAAAAATGAACAAATCGTTAACGATGATTAACTTGAAAAGGATGTGTCGACAACTGGAGATTGACATAAAATTTCTAACTGATTTGTAACGATGTATCATTAAAGTTAATTAAAATCTATTTTGTCCAAATATGTTTATTGTGGTCCAAGTCGGTAAGTAATAATAATATACATATATGATCTGATTAATCAGTAATCCTCAAAATCTGAAGATATTGTATTTTTAAACTTTTATTTATGTATGGCACATGGAAAGAAGCAAATATTACTTTTTTAAAACAACAACAAACCCCTTATTTTTTAGCAAAAGTCTCTTCATGTATTTTAATTTTTATAAACAAAAAATTATACAACAAAACCCCCTTTTTTTATAAAAAAAAATCAACAACAATTAACCCTTAATTTTTTTTTAGCAAAGTTCACTTTATGCACGTTATTTCAATGAAAATTAATTTTGAACTTTCATCCCATTCGATTCAGTATACATATTGTATATAAATAATAATTACACCATCAAAGAAAAGATTAGAATATAAATAAATTATACTTGTACGAATATCCACAAAGTGAATATCTTTTAAATCTATTTGAGCGTTGTAGGTGTCCTATTTAATAACACTTTCACAGTGGAAGAAATGTTCTCATATATCATGAACATAAGCGCTGCCGTTAAGACGGTTTGTAATATTTTTGCTTCCAAACCACGGAAAAGACCCTTAAAGCCCCGATGTTGGAGTATGTTCAACATAATTTTCATCATGCTCGCGTCATTTGATGCTGCAGCTGTTTGGTTCGCTTTAGTGGCATTTGTGCGATGGCGTTGTTTTGTTTGGACTAGTTGTAAAGGATATGTGAGTATAGTAGCAAAAGCTTTGGCAAGTGCACCAATTAAAAAGAAACCCAAATTTGATATCTCAGTGCCTGTAAACTTGATCAGGTTACGTTTCAATAGTTCATACATCATGAACTGTAAAGCTGGATTAGAGACGAGCATTAGTGATGGTATAGTACCGGACCATAGACCACGAATGCCTTCAGTTTTGGCAACATATAACAGACCGCTAATCAAATTGTTGTAGTGCTTGTTGACATCATCTGAGGTCCCAGCTACGTTACGCATGCGAACACGCGTGTTTACCACCCAAAACGGGGTGGTAGAAAATACATTAATAATACCGGCAATTGTGCCTAGGAATAGATCCTTTAAAGCAGACTGTTGCTTACTGCCTGCAGTTAGAGCTTTTAAACTGTAATCAAAAATGTATAATTTTTTTTGAAATGAACAATAAACAATAGTTAATAAACCAACCTGTGGAATGTGTAAAAATATACGAAATTTGAAATACACAGGCTCTGCAACACCGGTCCCAAACCGCGATACAATGCCTGAAAGCCTTCGCCAGTTACAATCTCTTTAATAACTTTTATGGTACTTCGCGCCTCGCCATTTTTATCTGGATCTTCGACTGAAAAATTTAACAAATTTATAAATCTGCCTAAAGTTTACTTTCGCTAAAAACGTTCTCATTTTATGCACATTGACCAAATATATATTAAACCTATACATACATGGATAATGGTGCAAAGTTCAAATAATTTGCACATTCAACTTACGTTGTAAACGCGAGCGGACCGTGTCAAGTGGATAGAAAGTGCTCATAGCAATGCAGCCACCCTACAAAATATTGAAATTATAATTGATTATAAAACTAATTCTGTATATAAAATTAGCCACACTTACAGCTGCTCCGGACACGGCATGTATCCAAGATTGATAACTGAAGACTTGATTTAACTTTGATTGTGCAACCATTTTGTTCCAAAAATGTTTAATTTTCTTTAATTGAACTTTAGATGGGATATGCTCAAAATATTCTGTATTATTGTGCACACCGGAAGAGAAGTGTACAGTGGAATAGAATACAAACACGTCCAGCTACAGCGACAGTGGTCAACACAATGGCTTTCGTAGCTGTAATTGTGTATATTTCGCGTGAAAGCCTGTATAAATCAATTCATAAATTTCAGTCGTTGTGTTTATCTTAAAGTATCAATGTATGCCGCTTAATCGCGTGATATTTTTTTGTTTATATTCATATTAGAGTTTAAAATTATTAATAAATACTTTTGAAATGCTTTGTTTCAAAAACTTTAGTTTTACGTATTTTATTCCAATTTGTGCACTATTCTTCAATGCAAACGTTAACACTTATTAGTCGACCCGTTTTGTATTATTCAAATTGCAGAAGTTAGTTCATTATAATAATCGCTCATTCACGTCTCACATAATAACAATAACAAATAGTTCGTTTTCAGCGTCGCCGGTCGATTGTCACAGCTGTTTGGATATTTTAGACAGGGTTGCAACTGTTAAACGTCGGAATATATTTTTAACGTTGGTGTGTAATATGAAAAGTTGCTGACTTGGACTTTTGGAAAACTTAAAAATTTAATTAAATTTAGTAAATTTATGATTTATAGCAACTAATAAATTAATGAAAAAGTTATAGCAATCAGCCTACTTAATTATTTTTAACTTAGATTTTTGATCTCGAAATAAGACGGATCTTCAGTCCTAGAGGGAATGTGGAACCGTTGTATGGTTTACTGCTATTAGAACTGTCACTCACAGGTGGTTTTAGATTCAGAACCATGTTCATGGTCTGCTAGGCTCAGAAGTCGTAAAAAGGCATTAATAGTTTTGCTACTATGGAAAGGACAGTTATTGGACAATAAGACTCCCTTGATTGACGGGTTTCCATGGTTTCCCTGGTTTTAGTCGTGGGACCATTCTTCCGACTTTCCACACATCAGGTATAGGAAGAGTGGTCAACGACATATTTAGGACTTTGGTTAGATATTTTACTCCCGTCCTTAGCATCAATTTGTTTATGCTACCTGGATCGATAAACTTAGATGATTTCGTCTTGTTGATGACATCTTGAGCCTCCTCATCAGTGAAATTATGTGGGCTCCAGTCTATTAGCATTGTCAGTTGAAGGGTGCAGTGTAAATTGTCGTCTAAAATAGCTCGCGCTCTTCGGGTTTGAGGAGTCCGCTTATGTGTTTTTACCATTTGCCGAAGTCTCAAATTGAGATCATTTACGTGGGGTCGGCCTGGCGACGCTCGTTTGTTCAAATTGCTGCTTCGGCTGGAAAAAAAGGTCTTTCTTGAGAAAACAATAGAGGCTTCGATTGTGTGTTGCTGTCGGAGAGCCTACGAAAGGAATATTAATACAAAATGAAAATTGTTCATTGCCACTTGGAAACCAGATCTGAAAGGCATATCACTAACAAGTTAACGGTTTATTGTTGTCTATTACCTATGACTTTTGCAATAATTTTCCGCTCAACTCCATTTCACATTTATTATTGTTTTTATTTACGAGCATATTAAATAACAAGGTGGTTGTGAACCCATCAGTCACTGTCCTCTCCAGAGGCCAACACGCAAACTAATCAAATGCAACAACTACAATATATTTAAGTGCTTATGTATGTGCGTATGTATGTTACATAAATATAGAGTCGATTGCATTATTAAAGCTCACATCTCCAAGTTGCGCTTCCCAATCGCCTTGGCGTCGCATGAATAATGCTAATTAAGCTCATCTGGCGGACTTTATTGTAATAATGTTATTATATTTTATTTCTAATTTGACTACAAGCATACATACCTACATTCATCCGTGTACATGCAACAATAAATACATAATAATTTATGCGAAACGGATATTCAGTCAAATTGAATTAATGCAAGCAAAAGCAAAAGCTAAACGAAAATCATATAATACACAAATTTTCCTTTGCGAGTAAACAATGATTATTTATAATTTTTTCGGTGGCAAAAATGAAAAACTAGAAGTAGAGTTGTTTAAATGGATGGGATATATATATGTGTATATAAATATATAAATAAATATATTAAGACTTGCAGCAGGTAATTAGTATTAAATAATAAAGTTTAAGACACAGTTTGTTAAACTATAAAATTTGATATAAGAATCGAAATAAATAATTTTTTTATTGAACGTATTTTGCACGCTTATGCAGATTAAAGGGTTTTATTCATTTGCAAATTAGAAATATGTGAATTTTTTTGAAAAGGCATTTTGCTTAATAATTAAATAAATATTATGTACATTTACATAATTTAATGTACTTTAATAATCGGAGATTCGTTTTGATAAAGTTTAGATACCCTTGATTCCGTAACCGATCTTCAGGAGGACATCCGACTTTTTAAAATTTGAAATTTAAAAAGCATGAACACCTAGCATCGACATCATCCGTCGGCGCTGTCCTGAAAAAAAAGAATTCCGAAGATTGACTCAGTTGATGCCATTTTATAACGAAACATTTTCATACACTAAAATACATGTTAACTAAACATACGATTCTTTTTGACTTATCCCAGAACAAATACTAGACTCTAGACTGGCATAAGCCTTCAAGTAACAGTAACGCCTTCTGTTTTATGAAACTGTACTACGAGATACTGATGTTTGGTAAAATTTCTACAACAACTGTCTAATTACAATATAACAGTAAACCTCGAGTACCCCATTTTTAATGAAGATCATTGCCAAAACTATGTTCTTCTGCCCCTGGTTTGAGCTGAAAATTACCTGATATATTTGATTAATATTCCTTTCTTCTAAATCAGTTTTTCGTTACATATGTATATCCAGTACTATTTTTAATTACCTAAAAATAATTATGTTAAAATAGGTATTTTAGTGAATCATTTGTTACATAAGAGCTAACTGAGTGTTCAGATTATTTTTATTACATTATTTCTAAAGATAATGTTGTATGAGCAGATTTGTTTTTTGTTTAGTGTGCTTTCATTTTATGTGTGTGTATTAGGGTGACTCGTGTGAGTTCCAAAAATGCTGAGTTATAAAGCTTGTTAAGCATCATAGCGATCAGGTGCTTTGCCGGCGTAGAGATACGTATTGCAAATAATGGAAATCTTTGAATCTAGTTTAAACTACAAGTAATTGTATATCAAGATTTTATCGTCTAATCAAAAGTGACCCGAACCGAGAAAAAACAGCATTTTCACATATTTTAATATAAATATTTATTATCGATTCCAAAATACGTTCCTGAGCCAATATATAACGCTTATGCCAATTTCCCATAAACTTGTTATAACCCTCGGTTGGGAAGACCTCCAGTGTCTGCAGCGAATTTTGGTTTTTTCGATTTCGGCTAATTTTTTGAGCGCCATTCGCTAGATTGTTGCACAGTTTTGACGTCATATTCATAAACCACGTCTCGTCACCAGTAATAAAACGTCTGATGCATGTAGGGTTCTAAGCTACGTTGTCTGTTGTCAAGCAACCCTTTAGCGACCTTTGCTCGATGTCGTTTTTGCAAAAGATTCAAGTCTTTTGATAGGAGTTTAGCATTGACACATTTTGTAAAAGGTTATAAACAGATTTTTATGTTAATTTTGATTGCTCAATTTGTATGACAGATTTATGCCATAGTAAACCGATCTGAATAATATGCTTGAGAATTGTAGCGATACCTCGAATAATAATCTATTTCCATACAAGGACCTGAGTTTGATCGATCAGTTTGTATGGGAGCTATGTGGTATGGTAGTTTGATATCGGCCGTTCCTTGATGAGAAAAGAACCTGTGCAACATTTCTGAACGATATCTCAAAAACTGAGGGACTAGTTGGCGTTTATACTGACGGAAATGGTTAAATCGACTGAGCTTGTCACGCTTCTGGGTGTTGCAAACTTCGTGGCAAACTTAATATACTCTGTTCAGGGTATAACAATTTTTGAGAAAAAATGGACCAGCCTAAAATATGACGAAACATTTGTGTAAGTAAACAAGTAAATGTGAGAGTTAATGGGTTAAGAGCGTAGGGCGTAAACGCCAGCCTAATTATATTCAACGCGTTGAGGACGATGAACTCGCCAAAGTTAATTACTTTTGATTTTACATTTTACATTAGCCGCTAACGCGTTGCCATGTCTCTCGCCTGCTTTGTTAACACTTACGACATGTCTTGCACATGCGCACACACACATACAACTGCATCAGTGCAAGTCAAATGCATAAAATAAAAGCAAGATACGTGTCTGTCACAATGCCCGCAACAACGTCTGAGGTGTAAACTGATGCAAGCGCGACTGCTGCAACCAAATCTTAAAGGCTGTGATTTCAAAGAGGCTTTATGACACTGAAGTGCACAAAAATAATGCCAACCAAATGAAACAATGCCAACAAATGAACAGTCGCTGCTATTGTGTGTATTGAAGTAAGCGTACTACCATTAATGCCAGTGAGGTTAGCGCATGAAGCGGTGAGCAATTGCAGCGTAGTCTTGGAGATAGACACCAAGTCACGCTGCCGCGCCGACGTAAACACCACTTGACAGCGCTTATGTGTGCGCACGCCGCCGCACTCGAGCGCCACAGCAGCTTATGCTCGTACAACTTTCGCTTTCTTCGATGACGTAAACACAAGAAAAATTGCTCAAGTCATCGCGTTACAGTGCTACGTACATTTTTACATACATATATATGTATGTATATTTATGCATATCTTGTTTGTTTGGCGGTGGTTAATTATTTTACAATAAATGCTCGATAAATATGTAAAGCAGTTATAAAATATTAATTAAAAAGAAGGGTGGCGAAATTTTTTTAGATTTATAGAAAAAACATTAACTTCGGCTACATCGAACATAAAATACCCTTCACAGGTGCATTATAGTATAAAAAGATCTTGATATTGTTTTTTTTCGGTCACTTTGTATGGCAGCTATAAGCTATAGTTATCCGATCTAAACAATATATTCGGATATTATAGCGCTGCCTTGGAAGTTATCTTGTCAAATAAAAAAGTTTTCCATACAAAGACTGGATTTTGAACGATCAGTTTGATGACACATATATTCGATCTGAACAATTTCTTCGGAGATTTTATCATAATCCATTTCAAACAATAATCCAATGGGCAGTTTCTTTGTGAGAAAAGGTCGGGTGCGAAAGTTTGCACATATACAGACCGAGAGACAGACGGATATGGCTCAATTGACTTTGCACGTCATGGTGTTCATTTATATACTTTATATAATATGGCTCGAAGGCTAGAAAATCTTTTTCTTAAAATTTGCGGAAGGTTTCGGATTTGAAGAATATATGAACCGTGAATTCCTTATGACGAGTCGAGGATTCGATACAAAGTCCAAAACTCTTATTATATGAGGCAATTGGTGTATATATGTATATAACTGGCTACTCAGTTGCCTGTGATCAGTAGCCAGTTGTCATGCACATTGCAAATTGTGGCAAAAATTATACGGTAGTCTAGCGGCTACTACAGTAAAGCTTGTGCTCACATACGAGTATAAAAAGGGTGAGTTTGTTTCATCAAGAATTATGATATATTTTAGAGCTTGACAACTTTATTTAACCTTTTAAGTATTTATATGTGCATACATAAAAGCTCTGCTATAATTTTGAGTACCTATAAGTAAAAACCCTTATTTCAACGCAATACCTACAATTTTACATTGTATTAATATATTTGGCAATCCATATGTTTCAGTTGCCTTTTTTGACTAATAAAGGGCAGTGAAATGCCATTGTGCACTCAAACTCACAAATATTCATACAAACTACAAAAGCATAGCTGACAAAAATGGCATTCAATTCACTGCTTCTCAGCATCTTGCCTTTCTTTTCATTTTCGGTTTGACAACTTGACACGCAATTTTTGCATTGTAAGAAAAATGTTTTTCAGACAATTGAAATTCACAATGTTTGTAATAGTTTTCTTTTCTTTTATGTTATCTTCTTTTATTTATTTTTAGTTCCATTACTTAAAGATATATGTATTAGTTATATTGAAAATTGATTATTTATTCAAAACATATTTTTGTAGAGGATCAAAAACATACAATTAGAAGGTAAGTCCTTAGAAGTGTTCTACTCGACACAAATATTTGAGTGAAAGTTTAAAGTGAAATTCTTTAAGAGTGGACCATTTTTTCGATAATACTTGTAAGGCACTTCAAAAATATTTACTTTTAAGGATAAAAACTCCTTAAACTCTATTGTGTATTGGTGTGATAAACATTTCAATACATTTTGTTGAAATTATATTCACTTATTTTTCGAATCTTGTTACATTTTTTAATATCCCAGATATCGGAACCAAATTTTAGCGCGAGCACAATAACTCTCAAAAACTGTCCTAAGTTTATGATGAGTTAATCCGAAAGATCTTTTCGAACTTTACTTTAATCTTCTCAGCAATATTTAAATCAGAAGTTTCATAGTTTTACAAACGTTTTTGTTTTCTACCAAGATGACTAAAATTTTATTTACCAATCCAAAAGAAGCTGCTACGAATTTAATCATCAAAAACTTACATAATTATTTTGGATGATTTTATTTATGGTATATATATATGTATAAGAAGATATAGTTAATATATAGGAAACAACATAAAAAAGATCAATATATACGGCGATATCCAGGTGGAAATTAAGGCAGATGATAAGCTACTGGCATCACATGCTAGACGAATGAGTATAAGTACCGATCATGCATGCAGAAAGTGCAGGGAAGTAGGCATGAAAAAGACGCTGTTACACCTCTTATCCTTCTGTCCTAGATCTCGTCTTAGATATATAGGAGCTTCACAGTTCAAGTTACTAGAAGTATCAAAAATAGTTATCAAGTCGCTTTCAAAGCTCGCAAAAAGCGTTGACGTCCTGTATGACGAATACTTCAGATCAAATTAAACTGAACCTCCATCTGGC